ATTCCGGTCTCCGGGCTTTTTTTTTTTTTTTTTTTTAGGTTTTGCCACGATCCCTTTTCTTCCATTCTCCTCCTGAGATTTTGGGCACACACACACACCATGATTTTTAAGCCTCCATGTCCAGCACTCGAAATGCGGTCAGTCATGTGGGAGTCCAGCACCTTAACCACCACGCCACTTCCTGGCCCTCAGCTCCTGGCTTTTAAATAAACTACTATTGATAGAATGAGACTGGTCATGAAACCCTACAATCCAGAACCAAGGGCAGCAGTAGCCCAGGAGTGCTAGAAGTGTGTGGTTCCGTGAACAAAGCCATGTGAGTTGAAGGGCATTCATTAGTGCTTACACGGGTTCAACCGCAGGGCCTGGGCGGGAGGGGAGGACAGCAATGTTCACATGTGGAAAGAACATTAACAAAAATGTAAGTTCAGGCAATTCTCTTTCAATCACGTTGATGGATGAAAACAAAGGCATCACAGAAAATGCGAACCAGTGGAAAATCCAAAGATAACATTATTAAGCCTTAAGACAGCCTTTGGAGCAAATTTGTCATCCAGATTCCATCCGGCTCAAGCTACACACACATAATAATGGATGATAGGTATCAAACGCAGGGCTTTATGAAGCTCAGCTGTAATGCAGACACCTGGGCAGGCCAGGAAGTCCCTCTTACCTGGCACAATCCTGGTGTCTGCCTAGATGGCTCTCGTAGCTCTCCTTCCTGATGTTGGTAGAAACCAGGGCTAGAGAGGCCTCGACCCAAGGCTGCTCGGCCATGTTGAAGCTGAAATGGGTACGGGCATGTTTCCCATTTCTCAGCCCTGGGTCCACAGCCCGGAAGGCACTTTGCACAGCCACTTTCTGCCTAAGAGCTATTACTGGCGCTGACTTAGGAACTAGAGTCCTATTACCTAGAAAGGGCAAAGTATGGGAAACTCGGCAAAGATGGAGGAGGCCCAGGAGTGGTGGGGAAGTGGCATCCTTTCCAGAATTCTGGCAAGCATGAACTCCAGTGCATCCAGACTAGGAAACCATGAACAAAAGTATGCTCTGATTCCTGATGAAGAAATGGGGCTGGAGGAAAAGGGTCAGCCCTGGAAAAGGAAAGATCTAGATGTCTTGATCCCAAATTTCTCTCTTCCCTCTTCCCATTCAGCCATTTTCCTTTTCATTGAGTCTTTCCCTGACTCTCCAGTCTCAGAGTACCAACCCACTCCCCTCTACATAGCACTTATCTCATATGGTCCACAAATCATGGCAACTCTTTCACTCTCAAGATCCAATACTTTTCTCCAGCCAGATTACCCCATTCTCTGTGTGTCCCCATTAGCTGGCCTGAGAATCTGGTCCCTAATTCCATTTCTCTTTTTTTTTCTTTCCCTGTCCACCAGCCTATCCTCCCAGGGGATACTTCCTGACCTAACTAGCGCCTGCTGTCACCTACTAAGGACCAGCCACTTAATACTGATCACTCCCCTAACCCCCCCAGGGGCTCATCCCCCGCCCGCCGCCTGGGCTGGGCAGTCCCTATACCTTTAACAAACCTCCACGTGCGTGTTAACGGCGGTGACAGCATTTCCTTGTCTCTCTGCTCCCGCCCCCGGAGGCGCCGCCCATTGGCCGATGGGTTTCTCCATTCTTGTTCTAATTGGTCTCGCTTCAGAAAACTCCAACCAATGACCTCTGCGGGTCTGTCTCCCTCCTCCGATCCTGGGCTCTCATTGGCTCCGAGGACTTAAGACCTGTTACTTGGTTGGGCGACTGGCAAATCCTTCCTTCCCCGGGGTAGACACCTGGGCTGAGAATTTGGTTCCGAACCCAACGGAATCGAGCGCTGGGCGACACCGGGTCACGTGTCCGGTAGCCCTCATGACGTTCGGGCTGCGGGGCGTCACCGTGACGTTTGGACGGGCTGCCCAGTGGCCAGGCTACCTCCGCCACCTGTGTGATCGCAGTGCCGCCATGGATCTGGGACCAATGCGCAAGAACTACCGTGGGGACCGAGAGGTGCCGCTGCCGGGGCCTCTAGCAGCGGGCGGAGGGGAAAAAGGGGTCCCTGAGCCGACCAAGGGGAGGGGAGGAGGAGCCTCTTGGGGCTTCTGGTTCCACCCCGCAGGAAACGAGGATGTAGGGTTCACCCTCATGGGAGGAGATTTCAGAGACCACCCCTGGGGGAGCGGTTCTGGGAAAAAGTGAGTGAAGATGAGGTTCCAGAGGTAGCTGTCCTAGTGGATGAGAGCGGGAACTCTGGAGCCTGTGGGAGGGAATTTGATCACAGTGGATGTGTATCTTCTGGGGCGATTTACTTAACCTCTGTGGGCCTCAGTTTCCTCACTTGTAAAGCGACAGTACCTACCTCACAGGGTTATTATGGATTTCAATATTTGTAAAGTGCTTACAACAGTGATAAACAGCTTCCAAAATGTTAAAATACATGAAATATGGGAGAGAACACTCTCGGTCCTTACTGCCTTCAACCCTTTGTGCTCACGGCCATTTGGGGATGTTTGTCTTTTCCCTTCTCAGGATAGGAACCAAAAGCAGTGTTTTGGAATTGGGGTCCAGAGCCAGGGTTATCAAATCTGCTTGCATTGAGCCTTAAAACGCAGTTTTTTAGGGGCCAGGTGATGGTGCAGTGGTTAAGGCGCTGGATCCCACATGGCTGTCTGTGCTGTTTGAGTCCTGGACCTGCAGCCTGGAAAACATACAGGGTGCATGTGCACAGGTGCCCCAAATCCCAAGAGTAGAATGAAGGAGACGGGATTGCAGTGGCCCAGCCCTGCTTAGGGATGCTTCTCACTTTCCCTCTGCCTCTGTCTTGTGAATGCAGGTACTCTAAAGCAGAAAAAAAAAAAAAAAAAAAAAGTTTTTCATTAAATGTCAGACCTACTGAGTGAGAATTTACGGGGGTGGAGCCCAGAAACCTTTTTAAAAAGAAAAATTAAAAAGTTAAAGAATTACTTATTTGATTTTACTTATTGTTATTTTTAAAATGTGCTACAGGACATGCGCACTTACGAGAGAGTGAAAGAGAGAGGAAAAGAAGTAGGAAAGCAAGTCACCAGGTCCAGGACTTGATCTGTGGTTGGCTCTGTGGGAGTCTAATGCTTTAACCACCACGGCACCTGCTGGCCCTGGGAACATCTCTTTCTCTCTCTGTTTTTTTTATTTTATTTTATTTTATTTTATTTTTAGGCTTTCCAGGTAAATCTGGTACATGAATAGTTTTGATACATATACATAAAACTGATGAACCCATTACTAGGTATGAAACTGGGCGAGTTCTTTGACCTTTTCTGCCTGTTTTCTCTACTGTAAAATAGGGCACAGAACCTACTCCTGGGCATTTTTTGGGTTATGAGGTCATTATTATGAGAACTAAATGAGTTACCATTTGCAAAGTGCTTAGAATAGCACTAAGTACATGTAAGACCTATGTGTTTGTTAAATGAAATAAAACTCCTTTCCCAGGCATTTGAAGAGACTCATCTGACCTCCCTGGACCCTATAAAGCAGTTTGCTGCCTGGTTTGAGGAGGCCGTTCAGTGTCCTGACATAGGCGAAGCCAATGCCATGTGTCTGGCTACCTCTACCAGGTAGGTATAGCCATGAGCCCTCTGTGGGAGGGTACAGATAAAGTAGGAAACCTAGGAAGTGCTCAGCAGTTAGCGTAATGGCTATGTCGCTGAACTCCCATGTAGTCGACTGCATGTTCGAGTCCCAGACCTGGTGGCTTAAACTCACGCCGGGCACGTGTGCATGCATGCCCAAGATCCTGAGAGGAAAATGGAGGAGAAGGGATTGCGGCGTGGCCATCCCCCCAGGGAGGGTGATTTCTCGCTTTCTGTCTCTCTGTCTCTGTCTGTCGTTCTGGTGAGCGCATGTGCCCTATAGCAAAAAACCTCTCCAAAAAAAAAAAAAAGAAGTGCTCAGCTAGAGGAATTTTAACTCCATGGTTTCAACACTGATATTAACATGCTGTGTGGCCTTAGCCAAGTTATTTTCCTCTCTGGAGTTCAGCACCCTTAACTATAAATCAAAAACTAAACCACTAAATGCCATTTCAATAATAAAATGTGGTACCTTGTCATCTCTGCTCCAACGCACCCCGCCCCTCGCCTGTCTCCCCATCTCCCTGAGCCCCTTCTGTCCTTCAAGAGCTCCATCTCCTGGGACATCTCCATGAAGCTCTGTCCCTCGCTTGAAGCCTAGCACATTGCTTCGCTGTTTCACTCGTGTGAAAGTCAGTCGTATACCCTTGGAGACATCTCTCATGTTAGTTTCTTATTCAGTTCTTATCCTCCTCACTAACATATGAGGCCTTGAAGGCAGAGCTCTTGCGCTGTGCTGCGGGGTATCCCCCAGAACTCTGCAGAGAAGACCTGAATAAGCCCCCTTATGTGATCCCCGAGTGTTGGCTGATTGCATTTCATGGGTCTCTGCTGCTAGGGCCTTGCTACTTGGCTAGGGCTGCCAGAACAAAATCCTGTAGACCTGGGAGCTTAACCAGCAGAAGTTTGTTTCCCCACAGTTCTGGAGGCTAGAAGTCCAGGTTTGGTCTGGTATGGCCTCTTATCGCTCACAGATGATGCCTTTTTGCCACATCCTCCTGTGGCCTCTGCTCTGAGTGTGTGGAGCGAGTGTGAGCTCTGCAATGTCCCTTCCTCTTCTCACAAGGACACCTACCTTATTGGAGTAGGGTCCTATCCCTATGATCTCGTTTAACATTAATTACCTCCGTAAAGCCCTGTAATCAAATACAGTCATGTTGGGTTTTAGGACTTCAACATGTAGATTTTGAGGGGACGCAGTTCAGTCTGGAACAGGGCCCCAGGCAGTGGTGTCATACTTGTACGTCCAGGACAGATTCCCAGGAACATTTGGGGTGAGTAACCTGAGAGCGGAATAAGAGGAGCATAGCCAGTGGGGAGAGCACAGCCAGATGTCGTGTGGGGAGGAGACCATGGCAAGGACAGTGAAGTGGGCTCTGACCACACTGCTCTGCTGTTTGCCCCTAGAGATGGAAAACCCTCGGCCCGCATGTTGCTGCTGAAGGGCTTTGGCAAGGATGGCTTCCGCTTCTTCACTAACTTCGAGAGTCGAAAAGGAAAAGAGCTGGTGAGGGTTCAGAGGGCCTGCAGGGCCCAGCCTTCACCTCCTCAGTTGCCTTCTCAACCCTGTCTCTCTGTGCCTTCTGCCAGGCTCCCTCCTGCCTCTAGGCCTGTGCATTTGCCATGAATGAATGCTCTTTTTTTTTTCTCTCTCTTTCATTTTTTAATTACCAGAGGACATGTATACTCATGAGAGAGACAGAGAGAGGAAAAAAGCATCCCTGATGGGGCATGATCATGCTCCCTCCCTTCTCTTCCATTTCTCCATCCTTTTGGGATTTGGAGCACACACACACATCACGTGTTTTCCAAGCCACCAGAGCTGGGACTTGAATCACAGTCGGCCACGTGGGATCCAGCTCCCTTAACCACTAGGCCATGCAGCCAGCCTCAGTGAATGCTCTTCCAAACTGCTCCCCCTCATCTAACGGATGCTGAGTTAATTCCTGTCCCTTCAGGTCTCGGCCCAGGTGTTACCTCTTCAGGAAACCCTTCCTGAACTCTTACACCAAGTCAGCTCCTGGTACTGTTTGCTGCCATCATCATTTGCAACTTTTCTTTCTGTTTTACCATTTTTTCAGTTTCTAACTGTATTTATATGTGATTGTGTGATTGGTATTTATCTCCTCTGCTAAACAGTAAGCTCTGTTGTGCCTGTTTTATCTCTGTTTTCCCCCAGGGCCTCTCTTGGAGTCAGACACAGAGCTGGCACTGTATGTGTAATCAGTGAATAAATCCAAAATCTGAGTAGCCCTGACCATGCCAACCAAACGTACATTTCTCAGGTCTTTAAATGTATGGGGGAAAAAATAAATAAATAAAAAATAAAATAAATAAATGTATGGGGACCAGCAGTTAGCATAATGGCTGTGTCGCTGGACTCCCAGGTAGTCGACCGCGGTTCGAGTCACAGACCCGGTATCTTAAACTCACGCTGGGCGCATGTGTGTGCGTGCCCAAGATCCTGAGCAAAGAATGGAGGAGAAGGGATAGCGTCGTGGCCATCCCCCGTGGGGGTGATTTCTCGCTTTCTGTCTCTTTGCCTCTCTCTGTCTTTCTGACAAGCGCATGCGCCCTATAGCAAAAACCTCTCCAAAATAAAAAAAAAAAAGCATGGGTGAGAAAAATGTTCACCCTCACCTTGGAGTCCGACTGACTTAAATCCAGTTCTACCACTTACTGTGTGAACATGGGCATACTGCTTAACCTCTCTGAGGTTCACATGTGTGAATTTCTGCCTCTGAGGTTTGAGTGAGGCATGAAAGTGAATGCATCCACTAAGAGCCCGCACTCTGCCTGCTCCCTGCAGAGGCATCCTCCGCCATCCGTCCTGATGGCTGTCTGTGATTCTCTTTCATTTCCAGGACTCTAATCCTTTTGCTTCCCTTGTCTTCTATTGGGAGCCCCTTAACCGTCAGGTGAGTGAACATTCCCGGGCCAGCGGTGGGTATGCTGGGTCAACAGAGTTTATGAATGAACCCACTGAAGCTCCTCAGACTGGACGAGCATCCTGTCCAGGCCTGGGCACTCTTGCCTCTCAAACAGCTCTCAGCTAGCTGGTCTAGTTGGAACCAGCAGTGGCGGGCGGTCAGGAGACAGGAACAGGGCCGTGCTGATGGGAAGGCAGACAGCACTGAACACCAGCCACCAGGGCTGTCCCTGAGCAGGTACGTGTGGAGGGCACCGTGAGGAAGCTGCCAGAGGAGGAAGCCAGGTGCTACTTCCACTCCCGTCCCAAGAGCAGCCAGATTGGGGCTGTGGTCAGTCACCAGAGTTCTGTGATCCCCGATCGGGAGGTAAGTGGGTCTCCTCTATGGTCCTGTGGGTGATGCGGCCTTGGCTATCCTGAGGCTGTCCCCAGGGGAGGGAGAGTAGGGAAATGGGCCTCCTTTACCTGTCTGATCCTCCTGTTGACTGCACCCTGGAGGACAGATGCCAGTCTGCCTGGCTCACCTGTGTCCCTAGTGCCTAGCCCAGCGCACGTGCTCAGTAAGTCTTTTTTTTAGTGAGCCATTGACTGGGCCTGACTTTCTCCATCTCTTTCCCCTGAGCAGTTTCTGAGAAAGAAAAACGAGGAACTGGAGCAGCTCTACCAGGAGCAAGAGGTGCCTAAGCCAAAATACTGGTGAGTAATACCTGGTCATCATCTAGAAGGGACACAAGACCCCCATCTTTACTTGAAGCCACCCTGTCTGTGGAATTACAGACCAATGCCTTCTGGGCAACCTTTGTTTGTTGCATGTCAGTAGCTTCCTCCAAGACACCCTGGGATGGTAGTGGGAGAATGACCTGCCTGGAAAAATCCAAAACACTGAAAACCCTGCTTCTCCTTGTAGGGGTGGCTACATCCTGCACCCACAGGTGATGGAGTTCTGGCAGGGACAAACCAACCGCCTGCATGACCGGATTGTCTTTCGGAGGGTCTCTCAGGCAGGAGTCTCCTCTCTGGGGCCCATGACCCACCGTGGAGAAGAAGACTGGCTCTATGAGAGACTTGCGCCTTGACTCCAGGATCTGTGGCCTAGAAGGAAGCTGCGGCTAGGTGTTAATAGAGGGTGTGGGAGTCAGACCCTTCTTTCTACGCTCCGCTTATTTCTCTCCCAACCCAGGATGTCTAGAGCTCATCCTCCAAGTTCTCTGAACTCACTTGGCTCTCAACTGGTCAAGTGAGCGTAGCAGTCATAGAGAATCATGCATGGGAATCACACCATTATTTTCTTGACCCGGGTATGGTTTATAGGAATCGCGCCCCCTAGGGGTAGCAGCTAGTGTGACTCCTGCAGCCTTGTCTGTTGCTTAGTCATAAGGCCCGAAGCACCTGAGCCAATCTAGCCAATCAGATTTTCTTGCCAGTCGTTTGAAATGTCAAGTGGAGAGACCCAGAGCCAAGCCATTAGTGGCAGGGGGGAGGCAACAACTCTGACTGTGCTGTTGCAATTCCCAGAGCTGCCCTGATGTCTCCTTCCAGGGCCTGGGATGTGCAATTCCTCCTGCCTCAAAACACCCCACTATTTGTGAACCTTCTTTTCCTTATTATTATTTTGGTTTAAACTAAGTAGAATCAATTTCTGTTGCTTACAACTATTGAAAGAACCATATCTGGGCCAGCAGATGGCATGGTGGTTAGGGCACTGGACTCCCACATGACTGACTATGGTTTAAGTCCCAGACCTGCAGGTTGCTTTTTTATTTTCCTTTTCTCTCTCTGGTCAAATCAAAATAATAATAATAACAAATTAAGTAAATAAATAGTTTGTTTTTAAAAAGAACCTTAGCTAACTCATTTACTGATAGAAGATTTTTTATAGCATTTATCCTAATTGCTGCCTCCATTATTTGAAGCACAGCAATGTGGAAAAGAGATTAAATGTATTCCCTGGAGCCAGCAGTTAGCATAGTGGTTAAGGTGCTGGGCTCCAACATGGCCAATTGCAGTTCAAATCCTGGACCTGGCAGCTTGAAAGTCACACCAGACATGTGCATGTGCATGCCCAAAATCCCTGGAGAAAGGACTGTGGCATGGCCTTCCCTCTAGGGATGTTTTTACTCTCCCTCTCTCTTGTGAGTGCATACACCCTGTGGCAAAAACCTTAACAAAAAAAATGTATTCCCTGTAGTTCCCAGGGATCCACAGGTGGAAACTACAGGAAAGTAGGTTTCATCTTAGTAGGGGGAGTGATTTCAAACAATCAGAACTACTTAAGAGTGAGTGGGCTGTCTATTAGGTAGTGGATATTTAATCACTAGAACTATTCGATCCTAGTCAATTAGGGATTTTATAGAAGGGATTCATATACAGGTATTTACAGACCAGGAAGATTTTAATCAAGCTTCACACTCCACACACAGATATTTCTTTTTCCAAATATTAAATTATTTTAGAGATTATGCTTCTCAGACTACTCATACATCCCCTCCCCCTACTCCCCTGATGATTCCTGGGATCACTGGTTTTTACCCACTCTGGAATTAGGGAGCTTTTAAAATCCTGACATCTAGGCCCTGCCCTCCGAGCTGGTTTAACTGATCTAAATGGAGCCTGGGCATTGGGATATGTAAAAGTTCCCCAGGGAATTCTGTGCCACAAAGCTTGAGACTTCCTGGTCTACATCCTTGCTACTCACCGGGTGGTCCGTGAGCCAGCAGTCGCTCTGAGTTCCTTAGAGATGCAGACCTTTGGGCCCACCCCAGGCCCACCTAATCCTATCCTGCATTTTCACACGACAGCTGACCAGTGCACTGGCCTCAGTCTCTAAAACCAGTGACCTCTCGCCCTCGCGGTCTGGGATCCTCTGAGACCCCGCAGCTGAGTGCTCCAGCAGTCCCTCTGAGTTCCTTAGAGATGCAGACCTTTAGGCCCACCTAATCCTATCCTGCATTTTCACACGACAGCTGACCAGTGCACTGGCCTCAGTCTCTAAAACCAGTGACCTCTCGCCCTCGCGGTCTGGGATCCTCTGAGACCCCGCAGCTGAGTGCTGTGCTGAACTGAACTGTATTTGCTTTTCTTGAGCACAAGACTCTGACCAGGGGCAGCCTGGATGAGTAAGCAGCCTGCTGGCTACAAAGTGGAGCCAGGCTGGGTAAATGTTTGCTATGACTAAGCCAGAGTCAGAGAACTGACACTTATTTGTGCTGGTTGACATTGAACTTGCCACTCCGTAGACTGCTTACGACTATATGACCGTATGGGCGTGCGCTTCAGTCTGGTACTGATAGTGCTCTCCAAGGGCAGCCTCTCCTGGATTAAGGCCTGCTGACCCCATGGCCACCTGCAGGAGGGCACTGGGTGCCCCTACCTACCTTGCCCTTTTCGTTGTGCTGTGATTGGGAGTTCTCGCTTTTATGCTTGTGCATGAAGGGCTGCACCCCACCCGTGTTATTTGGGGCTATGCATCCCCCCAAGTGTTGGGTCTGGTCTCAGCTATTCCTTTTGAGCCCTCTGGCCTTCAGTGACTGTGCCAAATCTGTAATAAATGCCTGTCAGCCATGCATGATATTCATGTTAACGTTTGTCCTGGTCTGGTCTTGCCCCCACCCCACCCTCTCCGGAACAGAGGGAAGCTGGGAACATAAGCCACTTTCCCCCTACCCTGCTTCTCCTTGCCTATAGGTTGGACGTCCAGCAGAGGGAGCCCGTTGTCTGGGCTGGGCCCGCCTCTGGGCAGCAAAGGCCAGTTCTAGCCAGCCTCCCAGCCTCCCCCTTCCTCAGCTTGGGCCGCGTCCCAGTGAAACTGTGGTCGATAACCCGTAGCCTCTCCCGTTCCTGCACATATTTGCACTCTCGGTTCCTCCTCCTCTGGTCTGCAAACCTACAGCTGCCTAGGCTCTGACTCCCTGAGCAACTGCGGCTTCCTTTGGCTTCTTTAGTACTCACCTGCCCCAGCCAGCCAGCTCCCCACTTTAGGGATATGTGTGTGTTTCTCTGGGAGAGTCCTGTGGAGGTCACCAGGGCCTGTGGAGCAGGGTGGCCATGTAAGGGGCTACAGACCCTGCTACCTAGGGGGTGAGGGGGTATTGCACAGGTGGGAACACCGGTACTAGGTAGACTGTGAGCAGGAGGCTCAGGCCCTTCCTCATCCCTCACCTCAGGGTACCCCAGGAAGGGCTGATGTGGGAGGTGCCTGCAGTAGGGTCAGAGGGACACCCAGCCTCCAAGCTGGTTGGCTTTACCCTGTTTGGCTCTAGGGTCTGCTCAGCCCCTCAGATGGTGCTCACCTCCCAGACAGTGCCTCTCCCTTCCCTCTCCCTTCCTATAGTAGGTGGTGACTGCTGCTTTCTTTGTTTTAAACAAAGTTCCCCTCCTACAGTAGGTGACTGCTGCTTTCTTTGTTTTAAACAAAGTTTCCCGGCTCCCTAAGAGTGGAGGAGGGGGCCAGCAGGTGGCATGATGGTTAAGGTGCTAAGCTCCCATATGGCAAATCAAGGTTCGAGTCCTGGGCCTGGTGGCTTGCTTTCTCACTTTCGCACTTTCTCTTTGTCTCTTTTTAGTGAGTGTATGGGCCCTACAGCAAAATTGTAAAATAATAATAAAGAAAATTAAATAATTTTTAAAAATAGAGTGGAGGGGTCAGATGGTGGTGCAGGGGTAAAATGCAACACTGCAAGGCTGACCTGCGAGGGTAGGTTCTGGGTTTGCACCTGGAGACCTCTGAGTACACTGGGCGTGTGCGTGCCCACAATCCAGGGCTGGCTGAGCTGCAGGGCGGATCACCATGTCAGAATCATCAGAGGTGCTCAGCTCTGCCGCTCTGTGAAATCCCAAGAAGAGGGAGAAATACAGGAGAAGGGGCTGCGGCATGACCATTCCCTTTGGGGTGCTTTCTCCATCCCCAACCCTCTCCTACAAGCACTCATGCCCTCTGACAAAATTACCAAAAAAAAAAAGTGGAAGGGGCCCCATGGGACTGTGGTCACATGCATAGGCCAGCTCTGGCTTCAGCCCCAGCCCTGCTACTATGAGTACCTGCCCTAAGGGTTGTGATCTAACCTCTAAGCCTCAGCTAAGTTTCTGGAAAACGGGGATAATGACAGCACCCGCCCCAGGCTATGAGAGGATAAGTGAGGAACCCTGGGGGTCTGTGCTTCAGAGCCACCCTGGGCCCTCTGGCCCTTGGTAAGGGTTTGGTAAACGTTAGCCATTAACACCGAGCAGGCCTGCAAGGAGGGGAGGCTCTACCGACTGAGTGATCCCTGAGACCCTAGGAAGTCCTGTGCAGTGGGAAGGGAGACAGGGAACATGGCCCTGGGGAAGGAAATACCTGAGCCTGCTTCTGTCCATCAGTGCCTGCTCTCCCTCCCTCATCCTCTGAGTTCCCACTGGCCTGGGCGAGGCTCCTAACAAAGGCCCCTTGTACAGATCTGTTTGTTTGGGTGATGAATTTCCTGAGCAACAGCTCCCTGGGGTGGGGTGGCCCAGCAGCCTGTAAGGACCTGGAAGCTGCAGGGCCGCATTGTTAAGTGGCCACCTTGGTCTCTCCCTGTTCCCATCAAGAGTTCCAGAAAATTGGCTAATGTCTTCCCGTTCTCAGCTCTAAATAATAACCTGACAAAACATCACAGGGAGAGAGCTCGCTCCTCCTTAAACCGAAGCAATGGGGTGCAGTGGAGTTCCTCAGTAAAGGAGAGGGGAAGGGAACCAGCATTAAACTGAGCACCTACTATGGACTATTGTGAGCCCCTTAATACTGACCTCCCTAGGAAGTAGGTGCTCTTACAGCCGCCTTTCACAGAAGAGGGAACCGAGGCTGAGGCTCAGAGGACTTTTCTCATGTCTGCTTTTACGCAGGGTCTCACTATGTCTTGGTCCTCCTGCTTCACTCAGCCCCCGGAGTAACCAGGACCACAGGTGCTATTGCTCCTGCTAGGCCAGGGATTGAACCTGGGCCTGCCAAGCAGCAGTGTCTGCAAACCTGGGCCTCAAAATTTTTTTTAATTAAAAAAAAAAGAAAAAGAAAAAAGTTCCCAAGGTCACCCAGCTACTAAAGGGTGATGTCAGAATTTGAATCCTGGTCCTAAATCGCTGAGACTTGGGGGTCCATCACCAAATGCCTTCCCCACTCTCTTGGGGCCCTGATGTGAAATCCCAAGAAGAGGGAGAAATACAGGAGAAGGGGCTGCGACATGACCATTCCCTTTGGGGTGCTTTCTCCAACCCCAACCCTCTCCTATAAGCACTCATACCCTCTGACAAAATTACCAAAAAAAAAAAGTGGAAGCAGCTACTAAAGGGTGATGTCAGAATTTGAATCCTGGTCCTAAATCGCTGAGACTTGGGGGTCCATCACCAAATGCCTTCCCCACTCTCTTGGGGCCCTGATGGCCTCTTTGTTGACCAGAAGGAACTGACCCCTGGGGTACAACTAGCTTCTCCCTCTGTTTCCCTCACACTCAGTGACCCGGTTCCCCCACTGTCACACCCTTCCTGACACTGGAAAGAAGGGTCGGAGCATAGGAGTCCACTTTCCTTATATGAAGGGAAGTAAAAGCAGAAAACAATGACCTCAGTAAATTCAAGACTAGAGCATAAATCGGTCCTCTGCTTTGACAGCCCTGTTTATTACAAAGAGAGAAACTACAGTTTTGTTTAAAACAAAATTCGAGGCTCCAGGACACACTCTGGGGCTGATCCATCTTAAATACTAGGAGAAGGAGGGGAGGAAAGTGGCTGCTGTGGGCTCCCACCAACGCTTCCCCACCCACTCCCCCAGTTTGAGCCTTTGGGCCAACGTAGCTTTCCTTCAAGGACCTGAGACTTGGCGTCCACACAAGCGGTGACCAAAGCAGAAGCCCACAGCATTGCTAAGCTGGCCTCTGCCGCACCTCCCTGGAGTTCCAGGGTCCTCTGTCCCCTCCATACCTGGGGGCAACGTTCCAGGAAGTTTACCGCTGCTACTAGGTGAGCTCAAGTTCAGAGCCTCCGCCTCTGCTCTGAGGAGCCCACGCCCCACTCACGTGGGGAACACGTGCTCTCAGGATCGTCCAGGGAACAAAGCAGAGAAATTAGAGGGAACGGCAATTCAAATCGCCCTTGACCTTGAGTCTGGGGACAGGTGAAGCCTGTCTGGCTCCTACTCTCCATTCTCTGCGGTGCCCAATCCCTGCTGGTTCTGCCATTGTTTCAGGAGGACTGAAGCATGCTTCCTGGGGGGAGCGCATCCTTGAACTGAAGCTGCCTTTGTGCGTGGTCAGGGGAGGGCAGGAAGACCCTGGGCCTCCCAGAAATACAAACCTACAGACCAGACATTTCCTGCCAGCAGCATGGGCTGCCCCCACGTGTCAGCTATGGCCGAAGAGGCCAGCGTGGCCAGCTCCTGTCTCAGATCCAGCAGATGGCAGGGAGCTGGGGGTGCTAGCTGCCCCCTGGGTCCCCGTCACTGTCCTTTGCCCTCGTGGTCATCAAAGAGTTTGGGGTTCTCTGCAAGCGTGGCTCGAACTTTTTTCTTCTCCTTGAAGCGGCCAGAATTGGAGACTTTGACATGCTTGCCCTTTGTGTTCTTGTCCACAATCTTCTCCAGGCGCGTGTTAAAGTCACTGTTGGCACCCTCCGCCTCGGGCCGTGGGGTCTCCGCGCCTCCTTCTGTTGGGGCATAGGCATCAGGGATCTCATACAGCACCTTAGGGGTGGATTTCTTCTTCCGCAGGAAGGTGAGCTTCCACCAGCCAACTTCTGTCATGGCGCTCCCTGAGCCGAGGGTGGGGCTTTCTGCTGAGCAGGGTGGGGGAGACAAAGGGGTCAGCAGGAGAAGAGATGCCTTTGGACCAGCTCTCTCTAGACTCCTAAGCACGGGCTATTTTCTTTTTTAAATTTCCTGGGGGGCGGAGGCAGCAGGTGGTGTGGTGGTTAAGGTGCTAGAATTCCCACATGGCTAACTGTGGTTCGAGTCCTGGATGAGGAGGCTTGCTTTCTGTCTCTCTCTTTCTCTGTCTTTATCTGGCAAAACTCGTGTGGAAAAAAATAATAAAATATTAAAAAATTAAAATAAAATAATTCTTGAAAAAGTTTTCTAGAGAGCACATGAACTTGCTGGGGAGAGACACAGAGAGAGAGGAAGTAAGAAATCACCTCCCGTGGGGCATGCTCACACTGAATCCTTCTCCTTCATTCTCTTGGGATTTTGGTACGTACAGAAATGTACCCGGCATGTTTTTCCATCCACCAGGTCTGGGACTCCAATCGTGCAGTGGGCCATGTGGGATTCAGCCGCCTTAATCTCCAGGCCACCAGCTGGCCCTAGCAGGGACTGTTTTTATTTTCACCCTAAAGAATTATTTATCTAATGCCATTTATTATTATTTATTTAATTTTATTAATTATTATTATTATTTTATTTGCATAGTACACATGCATTCACTAGAGAAAGAAAGAGAGAAAAGGAAAGTGAGAAAACAAGCCACCAGGCCCAGAACTTGAACTGTGGTTGGCCATGTGGGAGTCCAGCATTCCAACCACCATGCCACCTGCTGACCCCAATTATTATTTTTTAATTTGACCAGAGAGAGAAAGAAAGAAAAAGCAAGAAAGCAAGTCACCAGGTCCAGGACTTGGACTATTGTCCAGCGCCTTAACCACCATGGCACCTGGCAACCCCCAGCAGGGACTATTTTTCTTTTTTTAAATAATTATTTTTATTTAACTTTTATTTATTTACTTATTTATTTTAATTTGACCAGAGAGGGACAGAGCAGGGGCAGGGGAGAGTGAGAAAGCAAGCCACCAGGTCCAAGACTTGAACCGTGGTCGGCCATGTGGGAGTCCAGCACCCTTAACCACCACGTCACCTGCTGCCCCATCCCCAGCAGGGACCATTTTAAGTACTCAAGACTTGGGGGTAGGGCCAACAAAATGTAGCATTCAGGTTAGCGGTGTACCTCAATGTTCTGGGAGAAGCAAGAAGAGAGGAGGTCTGGTGAAGGGGTGACCACAGTCAGCATGGACAGGGAAGCCACCCGAGCTGGGCAGAGGGGGACCGTGCACTGCTGCCCTGTGGGGACACCAGGGCTGCAAGCAGGTGAACAGCTTTCCCAGGTCACTCAGCATCCTGAGCCCTTCCCACTGCACCACCGGACCCTGCTACCAGCTGCGCGCGGGCTGGTGACGGACAGAAACACCTGGGCCATTTCACTTGAAATTCTTTTCTTTTTAAAGATTTAGTTATTATTTTTTGAAGAATTACTTAATTTTATTTATTATTATTATTTTTTCATTTGCGATGGGGCTGGTGCACTCACCAGAGAGAGACAGTGATAGAGAGGGAAAGTGAGAAAGAAAGCTGCCAGGTCTAGGACTAGGACTCTTTTTTTTTTTTT